CATTCTACCTAATCATAGTCACGTGAGTGCAGTTATATACGAGCAGTCCAGAGGCAAGAAAATGAGTTTTAGTGAATATTGTCAAAGCACTTTAATCTATTTATAGTGTGACATTTTAGTTGCTATTTGTAGTTAGAACAGAACTTTCAACAATGCTTCTTAGAATAGACTTTAGAGACACCAATGTCCTTTTTAGTTTATCAGCTATCGATCATAAATCTCCAGCAGAGGCTGATATTTTGTTTGACCCAACCAGCAGCCTAAATATGCATGAAAACCATATGCATAAAGCTTTATTTGAACACTTTAGTCCAGAGTGGGTACTGCAAAAATTTGACTATCCTGGACCTTACATAGTTTGTAGTAAAAGAATGTTGTGGATGAGTTAGTAATAAATTTTACATTGACAATTTGTTAAAAATGACCTAAATAGCCCGATTTCTAGAATATACTGCTCAGTGGTTCCTTTACTTTGCCATATAATATAGACAGATGGGCTAAAACAGTATCAGTTTCGATAATGGAAACTATGATGACGGAGAATGAATGTGACTTTGCCTGATGTAAGTTATTCCACAAAATCGTTGTCGTGTCTATCTTTCCTCTGTGCGCCGTTACTCTTCTAATATATGGCTTTGAAAATGAAAGTCCCACAGTGATTCCAATACAAATGTCCATCTTTATTATGCTCTGTCTGACTTCTATCTGATGTCTATTTTAATACCACAGACACTCACTGATGTAGCCGATTATAGCTCCTATGGTCTTTGATAGCATTTTGATGAGACACTAAAAAGGATATGTTTATGCAGCTAAAATATTGAGAGGGACTGGACTGTAGATAGCTATTGGTTCAAAATTGCTGCAATGTGCCCTGACTTTTTACTCCAGGGAATTAAATTGTAAGCAGTAAAGCTTTTGCATAAAAACTAAAACTAACTGTTCTCATTAACTGATGTAATATACATGCTTATGTTTAGTTAAGTTTATCTATATATTGCTTCAAATGTGCCTATTTACAAAGCTTTATTAAACTCAATTATGAATACAATACTGTTTAAGGTCTGTTTCTTTTCCAAAGCAAAAATAGAAAGTTGTACTGACAACAAAGCTGCACAAAATAGCTCAAGTGCGTCACTCCTACAGTTAAGATGTTAACTGAGTAATAGAAGATTAAACTAGGTGAATTACAAAACACACTTTTACTTAACAGTGCACTATTATTGCTTTGCCTAGGATGTTCCATAGTGTGGCATTAAACATACTGATCTTCATATTGACGAGCAGGTAACACCAGGTTGCAGATCAAATTTGTGGAGAGGCAACCCCACTAACAGTAAGAATATATTTTAAGACAGTTTTGAGGAATAGTAACCCTCACAATTAAATAAATGCTAGACAGATACTGTAAGTTTAATGCAATGCCGTGTAACATTCCAGGCAATGCAGTAATATTTCCATGGAAACAAGCAGCTGGAAAGAAAAGTTACACAGTGCACCTTAAAAAGCTTGGAACAGCGCCATGGTGGAAACTATGTGACATTATTATACATTAAGTCTCATCTGTTGAAGCAATAACGCTGAACCTGGTAAAATGACAATACCATGAGTGATAAATGGAGTTAAGTCTAATATGGAAATGCTGACAAGGTCGAGGCTAAAGTGTGGAGATGAGAGAAATGAATGGACTTTAATGACAGTCCCTGGTAGTGTTGAGGGCAGATACAGACCGCGCACTATAAAGCACAGAGGCCACTTCTGTGACGGCACAAATCATAAAGCATTAAGAACGTGTCCGAGAATGTGCTGACGAAACACATCTCCTTCACGCGGCGGAAAAGGACAGCGGCCAATGCGGTTATGTAGACCCCGGGTCAGAGGATTAAACTGAAGAAGATTGCCTCACACAAACCCCAGCGGCCCACCACAAGAGGACCAATCAGCCTGCCTGCCGCAATGACATTTCTCCTGCAATGCCAATACAAGCTGTAAGAAAGAGAGGCGCCGTGAGCTCAGCAAATCTGTGACTGCTATACAGAACTATGGCTTCAAGGATTATAGAGTGTTCTTGAACTTACTAACTTTCTAAACAAGTTTCTAATTTTTAAATTGCAGTGTGTAACTTTTCACTACTTGTCTCCATAGAGATTTTATTGCTTTGCCTGGAATGTGTCTCAATATAGTATTAGACTGGGTGATTTGTGACAACCCCAAACTGAGTTACAGGCCAGATCTATGGAGAGGTCACCCCACTCACAGTAAGAATGCATGTATTTTAAGGTATTTCTGAGCAATAAAAACATCTTTAATTGAATGAATGCAAGATAGGTACTTTTAAAGGTGTACTGTGGAATATTTCAGTCAAAGCAATAACATTATCACAAAGACAAAAGCCAAATGATTAAGAAGACAGCACAACCAGGCGAAGTTAAAAGTCAGATCTATGGAATGGCAAGTCCAAGCACAGTAAGGATTTTTCATTTTTCAAGGCATTTTTTGGCAGAATAAACCCTAAACCAAAAAGAAACAAACGCAAGAGCTATATATTTTTGATGCTATACTATGGAACACCCAGGGCACAGCAATAAAATCAGCAACCCCTCCATCAGAAAAGTTAGGCAGTGCACTTTTGATGTTTGTGTGGATTTGGAAAAAAAAAAAATACAACAACAACAACAGAGCATAAGCAAAAACAGGAGATTTACAAGGGGATTTCAGGATCTAAATGAATTCTGAGTTTAGTTGCTCGCTAAAGCGCATGATAAGGGCTTCGTGGCTGGCTAAAACAGTTGTATGACCTTCCCTAGAGGTGCTGGGGTGTAGTAAGAGGAAAACACTGAGGTAATTAGAGGAGCACAGAATGGGATGGTAATGAGGCCTTTTCCCCGGCTGCAGGGTCCGACAGAGAGAAGCCCTCCAGCTCTTTTTATCCCAGTCTCCAGTGGGCAGGGCGGCGCAGGGAGGGCAGAGGGGCCGCCATTGATTTACCCTCTCCAATGCACCGGTTTGAAGATCAATGCAACATGAAGGTATTTGTGTCCTCATTAATGCTGTTTGCTCAGCAGATCAATGCCGACTGAACCCCTGCTTTGGCTGACGGAGAGCACCGGCCGAGAGGTGCCAGACCTGTTACGGCCCAGCTTCTACAGCTTAATGACTCCATTCACTCGCTGTGTAATGTATGCGAAATTACAGTACATCCTCAAAGGTGCATTGTTTAACTTTTCTAGTGGAGGGTCTGTCAGCTTCTTGTTTCTATGGGTATGTCATTGCTCTGCACAGTATAACATTAAACAGCTCTAATTTACATTTAGTGATTACAGGTTTTATAGCTCAAAAATACCTAGAAAAACATTATTGAGTGCGATCGGAGTTGCCTCTCCACAGATCTGACCTGTAACTTGGTCTGGTTTGGTCTCCATGAAGATAGAAAAGTTTAATGCCATTCTGTGAAACATTCCAGACAAAGCAATAAGATTTAAAAAGCATGTGATGGACCCACCGGAAAAGTTACATAATGCACCTTTAATGGCTCCATTCACTCACTGTGTAATGCATGCTAAATTATAGTACATCCCGAAGAGGCTCATGGTCTGAAAATGGTGGAGTTAACTAGCTGAACAAAATTCCCATTATAGCCTAAGAAGAGAGGCGTGCCACACAAACCAAATACATATCAGAGAGAGGTAAATGAGAGTATTCTCACAGCCGAGCCCCAGGGGTCACAAGCTGGGCCCCACCAATCAGAAATAAGCCGACATGTCCTCTGTGACTGCTCCCTCAAGCGCTTTCCTCAGCTTTATCTGCTCCTTTCAACCTCTGACCTAAAATGTCCATACCTCCAAGGATACTATCATTTCAAAGTGCTCTGTAAACCATCTCTACCAAATCTATGTCACCTTTCTCCCACTGGGGCTCCTCACCTGCACACTGGGGTTTGACTGTCCTCCAGCTCCAAGTACTATACAGTCCACAAAGACGCTCTTCTACAATCTTATGAAGCCTGTCGACAAGTACAATATTTATAATAAATATAAAACTGAAATGAAAAAAGTCAGCACCATGTACTGTATCATATAACATGCTGTTTGAACTGTCCACATTTAAACTGCTTTAAGCACAGAGGAGATGCTCAGGGCTTAAACTGCACTGTGTCAGACGTAAGCCAACATGAGTCTGCTATCAGAACCCTATCACTCACTCGATTGTCATGGTTAGTTTATTTCCACACATGCTTCTTCTACAAATGCTCCCTGCTTTACACCTATTCACCTACTTTCACACACTATTATGTATAAGTAGCATGTGACATGTGTGTACTGCAGTCATATATGTCTTCATGAACTTCCAGTATTATGCAAGTAAGCATTATCCTATTACTGCCTGCTGTGTCATTGTCTAAGGTCAGTGCATAAACTCTGGATGAACCATGACATTAGATTCAGCTGGTTTAAACTTTCACTTGAAAGCTCACCTTGTAACTCTTTAAATCTATAGAACATGCCACTGCACCGTGGACTACATGCACTATTCATAAGCAGGACCAGTGTGAAGCATAGACTCTGCACGCAGCTCCGAAATGGCTTTTAAGTGGCCACATTCGCACACAACAAACAGATGCTAACATTAGAGTGTATTTAGAAAAGGATGAGAGTGGAAGAGGAGGCAGCACACACCTGTCTCCTCACAAACCTACAGGGAAGTGAGCTACATCCTCCACAGGGCTATGGCCTATACAGCACAGGCTAATGAACATCAGCACAGACACTTGAGCCTGGACTTCAGCAGAGGAGCCATCACAGCTGCTAGTCTCCCCCTTAGGCCTCAAATGGGTGAACTCACTCATTCGTCAGACCAAATAGAGCAGACATGGAACCAAAAACTACCACTGTCAGTCTCTGGTTTTTATTTCATGAGCACTTGGGACTGTGCGCAGGTGCATTGTGGGTAATCCTATACCTTTGTGTACACTCTCTTATGCTACAGAGCAGAGCACTCACCATCTTTGCGGTGGTAGGTGATTTCCACCTTGCGCTCCTCTGAGCCCAGCAGGGCCTGGGCCACCTGGGCCACAGCGTGTCGGCTGGTGAACTGGCCATGGAGGAAGTCACACGTGCAGGGCTTCTGCATGACATCCGGCCGAGAGAAGCCCGTCATCTCACAGAAGCCATCGTTACAGTAGATAATCGCACAGTTCTGCACCCGGGCATTGGCTATGATGAATTTTTTATCTGTAACACAGAAGGGGAGACATTGGGGGAGGGAAATGGTAATTTGTTCAACACAATATCAGCCATAACATGATAAAATGCATTTGCCTCAATTATGGTTTCACATCAGCCTATCCCATTATATTATGCAGAGCTCAAGCAGAATTCAGTATAGGTTATCAAATGTGTACTCACAGGAGAAAATCTGACCAAGTATTCAATTTATAACAGCAGTAGAATGTCATTGGTAAATACTAAAATGCTAATTCGCTATGGAAAGAAAATAAATCTTCTTGACTGTCAATTGCTTCTAATATAAATTATATTTTTAAAACTATATTGTATGAATTAGGGACATGAAAGAATTTTAAATGACTTAATCTGCACTTAATCTCATTATGACAGTTTATTGAAGTTAAATTGGAGCTCACTCGCTGCGTAGTGTCTGTCACAATACTGTACAACAAACTATAACTGTGAACCTAGTGAACTTATACTGACTTCTGAGCTTGTAGCAAGTGAGCAGTGAAATTACACAACACCAAGCTAAGCAGGCCTATTAGTCTGTATTTAAGATGTTGTTTTGGAGAAGGCTCAGGAGCACAAAAGCGCAGCATCACCACACAACGCACCCACACAGCACAGGACACCCGGGAGACATACTCACTTTGTCCCTCGAATTTCCGTATTATTACTCCCAAAAATGTGTTTTGTGGCGCAACATGACCCCTCCGGACAGGCATGGTTTCTACAAAATAAAGATGACTGTGTTTCTTTGGCTGTTGAAATAAGCCAATCCCTCAAAATTGCCTCCGTCAAGTTGTTGCTACCGAAGCCAGAGGGGCTCCCCGTTTTCTTTGTCACCAGTCAGTCATCCTCGTAAGAAACAGCTACTCCTTGTTCCCTTATTTCAACTCCCCGGCTGCGCGCATCGCCGTGACTCCCCTGCGCTTCTCGCCGAACGGGAGCTGGAAAGAAAGGAGTCGGTAGAGCGCAGTTCCGCCAACATCTCACCGTCGCTCCTCGAAAGCTCTGTGCGCTTTGTGTCGGTGCTGGAGTGGCCGTGTGCGTCTCTCAACGTGGGGGTCTATTGTTGTGAGGCCAATGGCTGAGGGGCTGGCAAACCGGAGAGACGCACTACAGACTGAAGGGAGAAACCCACATGGATACACGCGTAGACGTAGACAAAGCGACAGGCGGGGAGAGATAGTACGGCTGCGCTTGGTACACTATTACGCAGGCGTTACATTATACCAGTGTTTGGTGCGGCGAGGGAGATTTATGAGCCAATTTCCATCCACTTAAAGCACGCTTAAGTAGTCAAATTCCACTGAGCTCGAAAAAAACAACTACCATTTCATATTTCAGATGCCACCAAGGCTGCGAGGCTAGCTGGTGCGCTTTGCATAAACCATCAGCCTCACAGAACTGGCACAACATACTTTCTCTAGTAGTGCTTTTTGGCGCAAGTTGTTGGAGATCAGTAAAATTACGCGCAACGAATCAGACGTATTTATAGCGATAATAAGAGGGATTATGAGACACTGTTAACACTTTCTATGTCATAAGTTATTTGGTATCAAGGGCTGGTCACGAGTCGGTCGCGGGGTGACGTCAGGACATGGCACGCAGGTAGATCGTGTAGCTCGTTAAAGGAGAGCTCTCGGGGCCGCGATTAGGCCCTGTTTTAAATGTCTTTAGTCGCCTCCGGTTACCACTTTACTTTCCAACACATGGTTTGCATAAAAAGCGCCCGAGCTCTCCACTGTCACTCCCAGACAAGGGGAAAAGTCTATACTACTGAGGGAGGAGCTGGCCATGGTGCTAGTTCAACAAGCAGCAGCAACTATCATGACTACTAGCTTTTTACGCACACGAATCGTATATGTATGTTGAAAGAAAGATTAAAACACTATTATGTGGACATTTAGTTTCAAAGGGTTTATTTTCCCGTCCAGTGGTGCCTTTAATTAGAAAGCCGGTGAGTTCATCTGGCACTGAACTGGTTAAATGCTTCCTTTTTGTGGGTAACTAATATAGACATCTAGAGTTAAACAATCCGGACAGTGAGTCAAAACACCTCCATGCTTCATTCATCCCAATTTAATCCCACTTTGCTATGCCCTTTTTCCTTTCACTTTCAATCTGCATCTTAAAGAACCCATATTACACCATTTTCTGATCTCTGTTATAATGTTTCCTCATCAAAAACACACTCAAAAGTTGTGTTTTCTGTCATTCGCACAAGTTTAGCACACAAACCCTGGATACATACGCCGCTGAGATCTTCTCCCAAACAAAAAACACTCTATTCTACCTTGTGATGTCATGTGGTAATACAGGAAGTGCTCCATCGTGTTTTTAAACTCCATACAGCTTCATTTGGATTTCAACCTTAGAACTGTCAAGCTCTACTGAACTAAAATTAAAAGGGAGCTGTTAACTTGAAAACTACTGCTTATGACATCACAATGTGGAACAGACCATTTTAAGCATTTTAAGATCTTGAGATGTAGACAGACTAATAATGTGTGAATGAAACTAAACACAACTTGGTATGTTTTTGATGAGGCTAGAAACTCACAGGAGTCAATTTTGCATAATACAACAAAAAGTATGAACCTGGTTTAACATCTGTCCTCTGTCTCCTCCTTGCTCCTTACCATCTGTTCCACTGAAAAAAGCAGCTATTCACATTGTGGCGATGGGTAAACGCATATGCTAAGAGCTTTTATGACCTTTTATTTTTACAAAGAGCCCAGCCTACCGTGGATTTCACACAAAGGCGACATTGTTCACTCCTTTTCACTGACAACTGTACTATTGTATATGGTATGGTAATATTGTGCGTGTGTTATTTTCGCCTGCAGGACCATATCTGCCCATTTTACTTGTGCAAGCCTGGGTGATTTTGAATATTTAAAACCATTAATCTGCATGTTGTTGCCTTCTTGCAACTTTTAAAATCCGTAATGATATTTTCACAGCGCTTTCTCTCTGTCACACATGGGCACGACTCACTGACTCATACCACTGTACATTTGCAGTTAAAGGGTAGGCCTGTCCTTAGGTCATATTCACATTAAAGGGGAGTGACAACATTAATTAACTGCGTACTTTAGACTGATGGAAGTAGAGGAACACCAATTTTACAATGTTATTCATGAGAAATTTGCCGCCCAGCACATTCATTTTTGGTATTAGAGAAAGACTGTAAACCAAATTGGCCTTGGCTATGTCCACGCCCTTTAAGTTTGACATTTTCCAAAAATTTGGAACAGTTTTTGCTGATATAATAGTTTATGTTTTGATTTGTGATGGGTTGAAAGCCTTACACCAGAAAACTTTCCTTGAAATGCCACCAATTGGAGAAAATACAACTAAAAGTCCAGATATATTTACCACCAAATTGTTCAAAATGGCTATAGGCTCAAGTTTTCATTTGATTTCAAGGGGACCCCCAGCCTGCCTCTAAAAATCTGACACTAATATTTCTGCAATATTCAAAGGAAAATTGCCTTCCTCTTTGCCCAGCACACTCTGCACTTCTAGGCACCATTTCTTTACAGCAGACTGGCTTTGGCAAAATGGGAAACTAACATATGAGCACCTTGGGGCAGTTCTACCAAAGCACACTGAAGCCATTAGTATGTGCAAACTTGCAACAGACCAAGAATGAAAAAAAAAAAAGATGGATATTAAAAACTGCACCAATGTGGCCAAAAACTAGCACCATTCAGACTGCACTTGTGCTTAAACCATAGACTGTATATATAAATGGACATAGCTAGCCACATTCCAAATAGGAAATGTTCATGAGATCGCTTCCGGCTCCTTTGACTCTGCTTCCAACTAACTTTACATTGAAAATTGTCACCCCTGCCATAACTGCTGCAGTGACACTCGTCATTTTGATATTAAAATGTTCATATTAACCCACTCTAAGCAATCTTGATGTTTTTATTTAGATAAATTGTACATAAATAAATTTGTAATCTTAATAGGAACCTGGCTCCAAATTCGCCCCTATAACTGCTAGCATCGTGAGCTTCATTTGACTGGAGCCAAACACTACGGGTGACATCACACTCCCTTGGTCCACTTCTTTATACAGTCTATGACTTAAGTAGACTTTTATTGGAGGTCACGTGCAGTCGTGTCATTGGTTTACGAGAAGAGGGGGCTATAAATAAATAAAACTGTATTTACTCTGCGTTTAACATCACTAGTCAGTTTATGAGGTGCTTTAGGAGCTAGGGCCAGCCAAGGAAAAAGTTTAGTATCAGAGCTAATTTTAAACATGAAGTGATAAATGAATAGCTTATTTAAAATGTACACAGTAGGCAGGTCAGATATTTGTGTAATTCCAAAGTCTATGGGAGTTAAAGGAGGAAATCGTGGCATGTTATTGCATATTAGCTAGATTTTCTCCCTAGATTAACAATTACATTAATGTGCAATGAACGGTATGGCTGTTAATAGTACTTCATGTACTTTTCATTCACTCCCCACACACTGGTGATGAGTGAGTTCAATAGCCACAGCTGCCAAAGGGCATACTGACAGAAGAGTAGCTACACGCATGTGCTTATGGTTATAGGAACTATATTACACTATTTTCTGACTTATCTTATAATGTTGCTTCCTCATCCTCATCATCATAATTGCCAAATTTGACAGTTATTATAACTTGTGGATGACTTACCACTGAGTAATTTCTCTTAAAAGCAAAAATGCAAGCATTTCCAAACTCAATGCTGTATCTATTAGTCGACTGACAAATTATTTTAGTCAGTGCAAAAAGACATTAGCACAACATGATGCTACTGGACGGCAACACAGCTGGACATATTATGAAATGTGAAATCTGAAATAAAAAGAAACACAGTTAATACAGTTTATAAAGCAAAAAATACAAACTGGAGTTTAAAGGGTCCAAACAGACCTGGAGTTGTGTTTGGTTTCATTCACACATGTTTAACACACAAATCTTCCTCTGCTTAAGTCCTTCTCTCAAACAGAAAATACACTTGTGATGGCACATGGTAATACAGGAAAATCTCCACTCTGTTTTTAAAGTCCATAGACCTTAACTATAATTGTTTGGATGATTTCAACCCTCGAGCTCCCAGTCTTTACTGAACAAAAATTTAGCTGTTAACCACTTCATGACTACAAGGTGGAAGAGAAGCATTTTGAACTTTGGAGCTGTAGACAGCAGGTACAGTGCAGTACAGTATGAATGGGAGAGCCTCCAAATAATCACTGGATATGGTATTGTTTATGAAATACAGTGGCAAGCTTTCAATATTTTTGTCCAGATACAGTGAAAAATAGTGTGAAATAGTGAACACAAATCCCATATATATTAATTTATTAACACAAGCATGCCTACTCCAAATACCTTGACAGACAAACATAAGTAGTAACAGAGCATGCAGCCTAGTGTTGTCTGTCCAGCACTGTATAGTAACGTATAATTGGAGCTGAGTCAGCAGGTGAGTGATTACTGCACTGCCTTCTGGGATGCTCACCCTCATTATGATGTATTGGGCACCGAAAAATGGTTATTAGCGCACTCGCTAACCTTGCCCTGGGCGCGGCTAATTAGATGGATTAATACTACCTGCATGCTCCAGGTGGTGGGCTGTCAGTCTTACAGTAAAGAGGTCCCTATATGGCACAATGGTCAGTTGATTTACTGCAGAGTGACTTGGAGGTGAACAAGTTTAAAAGGTCCTAT